ATTGATTTTTTCACTTATCAATAGACTGCAACCTACAATCTCAAAAACACTATGTAATATGTATATTCACTATTAGAATATATGATACATATACTACTAATTTTCTTTCAATTGTAGGACTCTGTAACTTCTGGTGCTGAGTCCAAAATGGCTCAGTGAATATAATTATCAACTGTTTTTATTATTGTTACATACATAAATACCAGAATAAGGTGGGGACCTCCTGCACACAGACAGGGAGAGAGAGAACACCCGTCGGTCCCATAGTAAAAGCTTCTAGCAAGGCCACGGATCAAATTAGTTCCATACTCCACCTCCCTCTAGCTACTCAGATGGTCTGTGTCTTTATAATAAGCAATATAGCATGGTATTCAGTTATGCCTGAGTCAGAATGCCTGAGTTCGAATCTTAGGCTCCCTGCTTCCCAGATACATGCCTTTGGGAAAACCATGTAACTTCTCCAAGCCTCACTTTCTACATCTATAAAATGAACATACAAGCAATTTCTATCCCCATGAGGATTAAGTGAGAAATGCAAGTCTAGTTTTTAGCACACCCTTTTGTTACTGTCCTTGCAGAAAACCACTTTCTAGGGGGGCAAGCTTGTACAGTACTCAAGAATGTTGGTTCACCCCTCTTCCTTAAAAACCCTATCCCAGGGGTCCTCAAACTTTTTAAACAGGGGCCAGTTCACTGTCCCTCAGACCATTGGAGGGCTGGACTATAGTTTTAAAAAAACTGTGAACAAATTCCTATGCACACTGCACATATCTTATTTTGAAGTAAAAAGACAAATGGGCAAAAACACTCACATGTGGCCCGCGGGCCATAGTTTGAGGATGCCTGCCCTATCCTAAAAGATGGTGAAGGGATGAACTCAGGAAAAACTAGAGACCAAGCTGGCTTCATCCAGACTTATGGGTCAGTACCTAGAACAGTACCTGGTGCAAACAGGTGCCCAAGAAATAGTGGCTGAGTGAATGAAAGAATGAATGAGTGTGCGTACTCACAGTTCTCACCAAGTACGCCCACAAGATGCCAGCTTTAAAAAAATAAAAACAAAAACAGCTTCAGAGCCAGAACTCACCAAAGCTGCCTATCGGACCCATGCCGGAATTCACGAGAGGCCCCTGCATGGCCACGCACCTGAGAACGCTGAACCCCACCTGGAATGAGAGAGGATGAGGCCAAGCCCAGGTGGGAATCCTTTAGGAAGTCCCATCTATGCCCCTGTTCATCAGCGATCCCCAGTTCTGGTTGTGGCATTGCCTCAGGCACTGATCACAAGAGACTTTTAGGCTACTCCTTAGTTTCTTTCCAAAGGGCTTTAATTAAAAACCCATTTCTATGCCACATGTCTATACCGCAAAAAGCACCCCAGCCAGGGCTGCGGCTCCCCAGAGAGTGGAAGACATTTGCATGGGGCCATTGAGTTGCAGGTGAAATGCCTTGTGGATGAGCCAGTGTCCCTGGGCCGTGTGATATGTCTGCACATCCAGATTTCTGTGATTCTCTCACTTGGGTGTGAAGAGCTGGACTAGCAGAACCCCACAGAGAAATAAAGAAAACAAATGGACTAGCCTTCAGCTTTTAGGATGATAACCTCCATGACTTACCATTCCAGGCACTCTGCATTTTGGCTCTCCTAAGAATCTGTCAACCTGATACCACTGCCACCACTCGTTAGCTGAAGAAACAGGGCCCCAGAGAGGTGAAGGAATTACCCAAGGACACACAGCGAGGTGGGCTGTGGGATCCTCGGAGCCCAGATTCACTCCGCTGCTCCCAGCTGCTTCCTTCCTGGAAAGCCTGCATCCGGCTGGAAGGTCCTTCCGCGAGCAAATGAGTCCACATCATCAGAATAAAAAGTGAGCCTTCTAACACCTGAGATGGAAAACCGTCTACCACAATCATCATTTTCCGCGTGGGCCTGTCCGAGACCACCACCCACCGTGGAACAACTGCCCACTCTAAAGGGCTCTGTGCTAAGGCTCTGCAGTGGTCCCAGAACTGGCAAATCCTTTCTGTTGCCGGCTGACCGGTGCCCCCGCCAGAATAGGTGTCCATATCCTAATCTGAAAACTTGTATGACTTTATATGGCAAAAGATGCGATTTTAAGTTACGGATCGAGAGAGAAGGGGTTTATCCAGGATTAACCAGTTGGGCTCAAAAGACGATCATCGCCTGTGCCCTTACAAGAGAGAGGCAGAGTGAGTTTTGGGACAGCCACAGAGACGGCGATGTGAAGATGGAGGCAGGGGCTGGAGCGACATGGCTGCAATCCAAGGGATGTGAGGGCTGCGGGAGCCCCCAGGAGCTGAAGGAAGCATGGCCCTGCCACCACGGCCCTGCAGATTCCTGTGTAAGGCTGTTAGAGAATCAATTTCTATTGTCTTACGCCACCAAGTTTGTGGTGATTCATTACAGCAACCACAGGAAACACACACCCTCCTAATATGCAAACATTTGGCCAAGTCCCACCAGAGACCAGCAATGATGGGGCTCAGGGCCTGAGTTATGGTTTCCTAGAGATTGTTGCAGGATCTCTTAGTAACAAAAAATCCACAGATCCACTCTTACGGCTGGAATTGGAAGGAAGATGCTCGCTGTGAAAATAAACTCCTGAGGTAGGAAGAAATCAAACAGATGTAGAGAGGAAGGGTTGAAGGGCAAAGGCTTGGCCTGGCATTTGGGAGACGAGAACTTGGACAGCTGGGACCACCACGAGCCCGGCGGAGAGAAGGTCCTCAAAGTATCAACCAAGTGCCGTAGGGCAGGTAAACTAGCTGATCATATTTTGAATTTTAGGAAGAGAGCTGCACTCAGGCTGGGTGACAGCAGGGGCTGCCTCCAGCCCTTTTTCTGGCCTCTGTAACAAGGGCACTGAGCTATACTCCAGCTTGGCAGAACGAATTAAGGTCACCACCACCCTGGAAGTTGTGAGAACACATCTGGAAGCCTTATGGAAAGTTCCCATTCTTCCACTTCTCGCCATCTAGATGTTGAGTTGCCCAACCTCATCCCTTCCTTCCTTCAACAGATATGTATTAAGCACCCACTATATGCCTGCCACTGAACCAGGACCCTGGTATACAGCTGTGAACGTGAAAGTCACAATCCTGTCCTCGTGGAGGGCTCTCTAGAGAAATGGTTTGCAACTGGGGGTGATTTTGCTCCCCCCACCTCCACCCCCAGGAGACATCTGACAATGTCTGATGACATTTCTGGTAGCCACAACTTGCAGGAGGAGGGTGCTCATAGCACCTAGTGGATGGAGGCCAGGGATGTTGATAAACAGGGGACGGACGGGCCCCCACGACTACGAATCATCTGGCCTGAATGTCAAGGGTGCTGAGGTTGAGGGCCTGAGCAGGCAACACCCGTTGACACAATGGTGGTTAGTGGACCAAAGAGGAGGGAAGACAGGCCTAGGAGAGCACAGAGGAGGGAGACAGCATCCATCCTCGAGGGGTCAGGACCATCTCCCAAAAGAAAGTGATGTCTACACCGAGACCTGAAGCATGAAGGGAAGTTTTCCAGGCAGGAAGAGCAAAAACACTTTTCGGTGGCTTACCCCTGCAGCACAGCTAAGAAGGAAAGTGAGTGGGTGTGTGAGGCAGAGAAGGTGGAGGAAACAAGGAAACCCTTCAAAAGATTGTCCCATCACTTCTCTTTGGAAGAGGAAGTCGTCTTTAATATGGGAGGCAGCAGAGCATGGGCTTGGAGTCGGATCTGAATTTAAGTCCTGGCCCCACCATCTCTTGACTGTGTGGCCTTGGACATGACACTCAAACTCTGAGTTCCTAAATCCATTTGGAAAATAAAGCAGACGGTGGTGGGGGAGAATAATAGTCATTCAGGTGGAAGCGTCAGGATGAAATGAGAAAATGCACATAAACGGCCTGGCAGTCTGCAACAAATAACGGATATTATTATGTGTGTTTTCAAAGGTCACCCTGGGCCCAGTGTGCCAAATAAAATGAGGAAGGACAACCAGAAGAAACACTCCTCCCTGGGAATACAAAGCAAAGCAAAAACAAAATGCTAGGTTTTACAGAACAAAAACTAGCTTGGGCGAGGCAGAGTTTCTGAGGGGCTTTACAGTCCTTGATGCGACACTGTGGTAACCTTAAGAAACAACAACAGCATCACGAACAGCTTCTATGCCCATTGAAATCAGCGTCCTTTGAAGGTGCAGATGCCCTAGATAAATGGTGCAATGCATCCATCCATTCGCCTAGTCAGCAAGAGACAGGAAATTCAGTGGAAACCTGAGGATGATCTTTATTGGGGCCCCTCCTCAGTGGTGATGAACTTGCACTCTTGCCAAGCTGTAGAAAAAACTCTTGGGTCCCACATATGGCAAAACTCCACCATACACGACTCTAAGTGCATCACTTTGATCCAATTGTCTAAAAAGCTGCTTGCTCATTAATTGCTCAATTTGACATCCTCGTGTCTCTCCCTGTATGTCACTTTTAGGAAGTTAGGATGCCTTCACATTGATCAACTGGTAACAATGTGATTTCATAAGTCCGCTCTTGGTGAACTAAGTCTCATTAACCAGAATTAAATCCTTTCTGCTTGATACTGTGAGAGGATGAGTAGGATATATCAGTGTAACTGTTTTATAGCCAAAAAAGTGATACTTGCTCTCTAACTGTGCTTTGCTTCCAGAAATTAACTACTGGTGATGGCAGCATTAAATACTAAGGGGGAAGATACATACCAAGAACTCCTTTTATACTGGTTATCGTCATTGCAAATGACACATTATATGAACCAGATACAACAAGGTACACCAAACGGGCATCGGGGGTGAGGTTAGGAGGATCAACCCCTCCTGGACTCAAAAGACTACTATTTAGTATCTAAGTCACGACCCACCACCCATACACTAACCACATGTTCTTAAGTTCCAACTTGGGGAATGCTTCTCTTGATAAGGGTCTAGTTTCCCTAGAGATAAAATACAAATCACAGACACAAGTAACCAGCCTTTATCTGCACATACTAAGTTGCTTTTATTAATCCAGAACGGCATGCTACAGATACTGTACAGCATGAACATTTATTCATTACAAAAATGGCTTCCAAACCATTAAAAATGAACTTGGAATAAGAGCATAAAACGGAACAGTAACATCACAACTGTTAGGAAACATTCAAAGTATTCACAAAAAATGTTATAGTTAGCATTTTAATAAACCAGAGAAAAATCGGAGACAGTTTTACAATCGCTTCATGTCAACTACAATGGCACTGAATGAACAGGTTTCAGCTTTATACAGCATTTTGCAACATCAACATGCCTAGGTTTGTTTTATTTTTAAAGTTTGCTACCTACTTGTATGTCGTATGTGTACATAAAAGTGGCAGCTGGTTTTTCATTTAAGAGTAATCTAATATACAGAATTTTGGCCCTTAAGGGTTTATACCTCTTCATTTAAAATGCTTTCTGGACAATCTGCTACCAAACACATTTTGTTATAGGTGACATTAAAACTACATACAAATCTACCTATGTAACATCACAGCAAAACATGATGAACAAAAATTACAGCATCAAAAAGAGGGAGAAAGCTAAAGTCACTGAGAATTTTGGCACATAAAGTTTTGCACACGGTCAGTCCATGTCCTAAGGGCGCAGGGCATCCAACTGGGAGTTCAAAGGGGAAACAAGGATGGTTCTCGCTGCTGCTTGTACAGCGTTGCTAAAATTCCCTCACTAATTTTCAAGTCTTGTTTTACATAATGGCTTTTAAAGCAACTTTTGTTAATGCTACTGATCCTTAATGCAACTATTAATGTCCATTTGGTGGCATCTGGGTTTCATACAGCAAAAAAAAAAAAAAAGTCAAAAAGGGAAACAAAAAATATATATACACATTTTATATATAAACTTAAAAACCTTGTACAAATGAGTTGTTATATATAAGATGCTTATGCTAAGGGGGGAAAAAAACTTTATACAGTTTCAAGAAAAAGGAAAACATATTTAAAAAGGGACAACATACAGGTACAACAAGCAATCTCTAAAGCAATAAATACTACTGGCCCGACAGCTTGTGATTCCATTAATTGTGGAGTAGCATCCCCCTCCCCCCAAAAGAACACCACCATGGAACAAGGTATATTAACACATTTTAACCCTTTGTTTCTGTACATTTAAACAAGAACAAGTAACATCACAATAAAAGTTGTTTCACACAGAAAAAAAAAAAGTAACGGCACTGCATTCCTCGTGCCCTTATGGTTTAAAAACCAGATGTAAAATGATTGGTTCGCAAGCTCGTATTTAATACAAATAATACAGAACCAACTCCTTCTGGAGGGCTGCTTCAAAATTGCTTCTTCTTCTTCTTTTTTTTTTTCCTTTTTGTTTTTTAATCAGTCTTTTAAAACTAAGCTATCCGAACTACATAACAGTTATGTATATATATATATTTTTTAAACGCTACAAAGACTTTAAACAGCTGTTGATAAAAATTTTGGTAGAATCATGAGGTTCTTCTCTCATCTACATATTTAAAAGGAGAACTTGAAATAAGAATGGGTCAAATATTGACCAATGAACTCGATAAACATCAACTAATGTAGCCACGCGGCACGAAATGAAGAGAGTTACAAAACAAAACCTTTCGAAGGCGGGCGGGGAGGAGGGCGCGAAGAAAGAAGAGCGGGACAGACACGACACAGAGCCAGGGGCTGGCGACGCTAGCTACTCTAACGACTTGGTGACCAGGGAGAGCGGCTGGGGCTGGGGCGCGGCCAGGGGGCCGTGGGAATGTAAGGAAGAGGTCGCCGGCTGCGCCAGGGGCCCGGAGGGGCCGGCGGGCGGCAGGGGCGAAGGCAGGGGCGGCGGCAGGGCGGCGGGGGGCAGGTCCAGGGCGCCGTTGGGGCAGAGCGCGGAGGCCTTGCCGTGGGCGGCCTCGGCGAGCAGGAGGGCGGGTGGCGGCGGCATCAGGGACAGGTGGGCCAGGGGGTCGGGCTTCAGGGTCAGCGACAGAGGCTGGGTCTGCTCAGTCTGTGACTTGGCGTCTCGGGGAGGGGAGCCTAGCAGGTTGGGGGAGGGAGGAGGCGAGTCTAGTAAGCTTCCATCTGAAGAGGGTGGGCTGAGGCAGCTCCCTTCACCTTGTATGTAGCGAACGCACTTTTTTTTTCTCCTAGAAACAGGGGGAGAGAGTTATCTGTGAATAGAAGGCAAAGACGCCAAGGGGCAGAGTCACCTAGCGCTCGCAGGCAGCTGGGCCACGTCACCCAGGGGGCTCCCCATGGGGACACACGCCCAGTGGCCCCGGAACAATTAAAGTGGCAGCCCGGGGCGGGTCGCTCACAGAACCGTGGCCCCCATCTAAGCCTGCGCTGGCAAACAAAATACTTAAAGAGTCCAGAACTCTCTATCTGCACCCCCCTCCCCCAACAGCCACAGCCCGCCCCTGCCCCAATCTAAGCGAGCAGAGGCAGGGAGGCACCTGCAGGCTGTGGCCTCTGGGTGCCAGAAAGTGGCTTTGTCCCAGCTGAGGGGGACTGAACAGCTGCTTGTAACTTCTCTTTTGGCTTAAAACCCTTAGACATCCCCTCGCGCTCCCAACACAGTTCCTTGCCCACCCCCCCTTCCCACCAGTGCCACCCCCGCCCCCCAATGATGTGTGTGTGTGTTTTAAAAGAGAAAGACAGAGCTCCTTCCCCAGCCGCCTCATATCGATATGAAACTCTCAAAATGCTCACTGTTGAGCCCACATAGCTGAAGGCAGCGCTAGCGAGAGGCTTAAAGGTTTTAACACACCACCACCATGAGGCTGCCGGCGCCCAGAGAGCTTTCGGGCTTGTCTGTTAAGAACCACACCAAATCAACAGAGGTCAGAATCAGGCGAGAGGGGAGGAGTAGGGGGAAAACAAAAATAAAATAAACTAAAAAAATAAAATATAAAAACAAAACAAAAAAAAACAGAACAAAAAAAAAGAAAGAAAGAAAGAAAAAACCACCAAAAACAGGTAGAAAAGGATAAACAAAGGTGGGGGAGGGGGAAGAATAAGAAAAACAGAAAATGATCCAAAGGAACAAGAATAACTGGTTGTATGGCCTGCAGGTTGTGGATTAAATTAAGATTCAAACTTGATTTTTGTTTTTATTTTTTAAGAGTTGGGGCTTCCCCCTCCCCCACCCCACAGTGAGCGGTTGGAAGGAGACAGCGAGGATGGGATGGATGGAGGGGCGTCCTGCCCTTGTCGTATGCCGAGGCCAGTAAGTGGAGGGTGCAGCACAAGCCCATCACAGAGAAGTGACCACAAGACGACGTGCCAGGGAATCGCAGCATGGACCTTCCTGGGCTTGGGTTATTGTGATTAGTGCTTAAACCAGAGAGTCTAATTTTGCCCTGCACCAAAACCAGAATCTGCCCTCTTCACTACCCACTTACACGTAAGAAATAGGAATGAGAATTTCAGAGCCTTTCTTGCTTAGCATCAAAGGATGAGGTTGGGGGGAGGCCAACTCAAGAAATTGAGCATGTGACTTCAAAGCTTCTCCCACCATCAATCCCAGTCTGATGGGACAGTATTTTGGTAGGAAAGGTGATCCTGGGGATCAACCCCACTAATGCTATGAAAATAATGCAGATATAGGAAATGTGCTCATCTAAGGACCCTAGAATATAGTCAGAACCACTGCTGATAACACTCCATCTAAAAACAAGTGTGTGAGTGCTGACCGGCTTTCTGCCGCTGGAAAGCAAACAAGATGCTGCCTCGCTGAAGGCAACCACAGGTGGACGATGTCCCTGGCCTTGAAAGGACAGGGGGTGTATTGGGTTCCTCCTTTTGGTCTGTGCCCCAGAACTGTCCGATGGTGCCCCTCCGGGCTCGGGTGTGGACTCAGCAAGATGTCAGGAAGGGAGGGAAGAAGGGGAGGGAGGGAAGGGAGCATGCGCAGTCTCCCTGCCTCCCAGAGGCAGAGACACGGTGGGGCTGGTGGCGTCAGGGTCTGTCTGTGCCCCCCCCCAGGTCAGAAAGAACTCTGGGGGAGCAAGTGCAGCCCCCTCTCACCCTCAATTCAGCAAGGTTCCTTTTTCTCCCTGGGATAGACTGAAATAGACTATGGGTTCTGCTCCCATCCCAGAAACCAAGATAAATAATTAAGCCTCTAGGAGTTTTAAACCACCTTAGCCTGCAGATCAAAACATGCTCAAAAAACTAAGATGTCCATGCATTTTAAAAACAGGAGAAGGATGGGAGGTGGGTGGTGGGGGAGAGTGCATAAGCAAAACTGAGAAAGCAACAGAGAAAAACAGAGAGGGGGGAAAGGGAGGAGGAGAGAAGGGGAAACGACCAGGGAGACGAGGGCGCGGCACCAAGCAGCACTGCATGCTAGTAGGGCAGAGTGGAAAGATGGGAAAGCAACTTGGTGGGCTCAAAACAGAATCTTGTTAAAATGTCCACAAATGTCAAATAAAACAAGAAACCCTGTGTGGCAAGCTAGGAGCCCTGATTGGCTAGGAGCATTTTGGGTGCTTTCTTCTCACCCCTCCCACCCTTTTTATGACGTGGAAGTTTCCAGATCAGGGGGGCGGGGGGAGGGGCATTCTGGACATGGGACACGAAGACTGTGGTGACAGAGCAATGGTCCTTAGAATAGGTGGCTGAGCAAAGGGCAGTTGGAACACACACACATTTCTGACGAGTCAGAAAATGCCTCGGTTGGCAACTGCTTTTCTTTTTTTTTCCCCCCCTTTTTTTAAAGCACATTTTGTCCTATTGATTTTATCATCAAGCCAGTCATGGCCATGGCAAAGTTAAAAGAAAAAGTTGAGGGGAAAAAGGGAGCGGGAACAACCTGTACAAAACCCATACTCCTAGCCCACTCCCCACCTAGGTTTCACCTCCAATCAGAGGAGTGGCCTCTTAAAGATCCATTTCTAGCTTCTTATGTATGTATTCTGAGAGGAAGCTAAGGGTTCTTCCTGATCCTGTTTTGGAATGACAACCTTAAAAGACAGCAGAAGTGCATTTGCTAATGCTTCTGTGGTATGAAAAAAATGTCCCCAACAGAAGAAAAATGGTTGCTGGGCAAGTTCTAACAGTGCTGAGGCTGGAAAGAAAACTGGACAATGACGGGGTCTCTGCTGAACTCTGGCTCCTAGGACCAGGGACCTCAGATCTGCGACAGACGTGCTGTCGTACTGATAGCCCCTCAAAGCTGCATTTTAGAAAAAACACAAGGTGGCCACAAGGTTTTGGGCTGGCAGATTTGGTAGGGGGTGGGGTGGGGTGTAAAAATGTCAAGAAAATTCTGGTGTCTCAGGAAAATACCACACCCTGGCTTCAAGCAAGGTGTGAACTGTGTCTGAGGAGGGGATTTCTGCTTGGGTCAATGTTAGTAATAACTTCCAGAAAGGGGGGGGGGGGATGCCAAATCTGACTTGCAGCAACTCCTTCCAAAACAAAAAAGGGATTCATAAACCATCCCCATCCCCCATTAACAAAACAAACAAACCAGGCACCTGAACCAGCCTTATTGTGAAGCGTAACACAATGGTGTCAGTTGTACATTTCTACAGATCATGAGAAACCCTCTCTTTTCAGAGGCCCTGTGGTTAGCCGGTCATTTGCCATGGTGGGGCATCTCAGAGCAGGATTCTGTAGCTAGTCATCTTCTCACTCGGCACAAATACAATTTTGACAAAAATCACTGCCTGGCAGAGTCCCTGTCTTCCCTGGCTGGTCCTAATTAGATACCCAATATGCTTCATCATCTTCATCATGAAACTCCTTTCTGTTGTCCAGGGAAGAACCTGGGACTGTGCTGGGGTGACATGTGTCAGCCCTGTGAAACTACCATCTCATGGAATGACTGGGGACTTCCTCTCCTGCTAGGTGACCCCCTGGAGCCCCAACCCCTCACTCCGTGGGCAGAGAGTGGAGACTCCCAGGCCCTTTCTCTCTCCCCTAACGTTTGCTGGGTCAACACGAGGCACTTTGCCGATCTCTTGTGCTGGCATCAGAGAAGAAGGGGAGCGACAAAGGAGACTCGTGGGCATGCACGGAATGGGATGAACATCTGATCTAACATCTAAACACGGAGCACATGGCAGAGGCATGAAGGGGGGGACACGTGACGGGGAGGCACTACAAACAGGGAAGCGTGTTTAGGGTGTTGAAATACCTACCATCATAATATTCCAAATTCAAAGACTGCTTGTATCAGAACAAAGAAACAACAAATTTAACCAAAGGTGGTCATTAAAGGAAAGGAAATGAGACAGGAACTAAGTTGGTATTCCCTCCACCAAGAAGGAAGTACCTACACCTTCCCTGAGCATACAGGTTGGATGAAAACCTGCAGGTGGAACATGTGTGCTTAATCGGGACACTTTGGGGCTGTTCTGATCCATTTTGGAACCAATGCTATATCCATACATATACACACACATATATATTTTTAATTCTGCAGGCCTAGTGACACTGCAGTATGCAACTGCACGACTCACTGCTTGCAGCCCTTTAGCTGGTGCATGCCATTCAATGCCACGCTTCTTTTTCAGCACTGTAAAACAATGTCAGCTAACCAAGCTCCTCTGTGCGGATATGTGGTTTTTAAACACAAAACAAAATCAAAAAGAAAAAAAAGTGCGGGGGAAGCCTACGCCAGAATACCCCTCTGAGTGCCTCGACTCCAAGTGCACGGGAATGCAATTGCTGCCAAGTGTGAACTTATTCAAACCCCTGGACACGGTGGCATGCTATGGTCAGTACGCAGGCCACGCACTCCCAGGGTCGGGCCAGCTCCACGATGCTGGCGTTCAAAGCAAAAGGATCCGTGCCTGCCCTTGTTTGTGAAGGTTGTGGTCTCAGTTCTGCCACCAGGGATATGTTATTCATAAGTGCAAGGGGAAAGAGAGAAAGAGGAAGTGGGGAGAGGAAATGGCATAAAATTAGCAAGGAAATTTTGAAGAATGAGGATCATTAGTCATTGATGCCAGTGGGGGAAGCAGATGGGAACGAGGTCAAAATAAATTGTCACACTAAGGTACCAGAAGGACAGAATACTTTGATTTTCCCAAAGGCCTCTCAGTGGTAATATACCTGCACGGTTTGCACCATAAAGTCTGTCGGTCAAGCCCGAACAGTGCCCGACACTTCTTTGGAGTATTTGCATCTGTTAGCATAAGGTAAACACAAAAAATACAACACAATGGTGGGTCGTGCTCAGTTGGATGTGAAATCTCAGCTACAGCTTACTTTTCTTCTATATCACCTTGGTTCTATTTGATAAACCTTCCCTCACCAAGGGCATGAAAGGAAAGGACTTCTATGAGTCAAAAGGAAAAAAACAAAATAAAATAAAACGATAAAACACACACAAAAGAAAACAACAACCAGAAACCAAAAAACAACAATGAAAAAAATAAATAAAAATAGAGAGAGAAGAGGAGGGGAGAAGGTGACGTCATTGGCTTCTACCTAGGCCAGGACTGTGATCCCGGGCTGTCATAAGGAAGGGGACTGGCAGGCAACATTCCCTGGGAGGGGGCGCGCTGGGGGTTTGCTGTCGCTGACCCGAGGAGGTACACGTGATGCTGTTTTACAGTGGCATTTTGGCTAGCAGCAGCGGGAGAACAAGCATATCCCTCATAGAGCCCATCCACTTGGCAGTGTCCCGCTCCCTTGTGTCTCCTAAGATCCACACACAGAGCTACAAAGCAACAGGCCAGAGAAGGGGGAAAGGATTGAATAGACCAGCTGCAAACCAGCACAGCGAATCTGGGAGACTATACACACCTGCAAGGGCCGCACCAGTTATTCTGTTGATCAAGGCCAAAGCGCGCTCGGCATTTCTTAGGAGCGCTCAGGTCTGAATGAGTTCAAGAAAGAAGCGAGCAGAGGAGGAGAAGGACATGGGAGAGAGAGAGAGAGAAAGAGAGAGAGAGAGAGAGAGGGGAGGGGAAGAGAAAGATACAAATAAGAAAAAAATAAAAATAAAAAAGGGAATAAATCAATGACCTGGTTACTAATTGCAAAATATTGACTTTTGTTTTTTTTAACTTTGTTTAATTAAAAAAAAGGTAAAAATCACATTCTTATTCAACGTGTGAAATTAGCTGTTGCAAATAAAGCTGCAGTATCCCTTCTTTAAGGACTGTCTCTCGGATTCATTTTGAACTGACAAAGGGAAGTTAGATACTGAAGAAACTCACTCTTTTAAATAGTTTTTCCTCTTTCAGTTTTGCTTTCTCTTTTTTTCCTCTCAATTTTTTTTCTTATAGAAGAAAATAAAGCGAAGGAGGGAATTAAGTTTGTAACATGCTTTTTTCTTCTCAGAGTACGACAGTTTAAAAAAGGAAAAAAAAACTACAAATAAAAACAGAACAAAACGAAACAAAACAGAAAGAAATAAAGAAAGAAAAGGGTTGTGGTATTGGGATATTGCAGCTTTTGGAATGTTCATCTTTTCTTTTTTAAAATCTATTTTCATTAATATTAAGAGAGGAATAGATAAAAGTAAACAGGCTGTATGAATGAGCTGTTAAGAGTTAGTTAGAAGCTCATAGCAGCATTTAAGCAGGCACAGTCAGTAAGATGGTAGTGGATTTGCAAATTATGAGCAGAAAAGCAAAAGGAAGAAAAAAAACTAAAATAAAAAAAAAGCAAAGGAAAAAATAATCATACTGCGGATGCATGCTTGCGTGAGAAAACTTAGTGGGAGCAATGAAAAAAATGCCATTAGATTAAGGAGGTTTATTACTGAATTCCTTCCATTTTTTTTTTAACCAGTCTCTTTTAAAGAAATACTGCATATTCAATTTGCACAGTTAGTTCAACTCTGAAATCACTGTCATCACTGCTTAAACAACTGTTATGGGAAAAATAAATAAACAAATAAAACAAAAGTTAAATTAAATTAAAAAAACAGAAGCAACTGGAAAAAAAATCTACTGAAACATACAAAACCGTGTAGATGGTCATTTTAAAGAATGTTCAAAGGTCATACGTGTTCAATGTTAATAAAACTATAATGGCAAGAAAAATTAAAAAACAATTTATCAACTATTTTAATGACTCAAAATGACATTAGCACCTGTAATCGGAGGAAGTGAAAGGCAAGGATTTAGGAAACATTCGCTGTGTTCTGAAAAAAAAGAACAAATTATACAAAGCCTTCAAAATTTTTGTTTGTTTGTTTGTAAAAGCCTGGCCTTCTCCAGGGGACCTCTGAGATTGCCTATGCAGTATTTCTAATTTCTTCTAGAGAATGACAAACCTCCTTAATTTAAAATGGGTGTAATTTACCACTGTAAAGGCATGCATCAGAACATTCAGGAACAGCCCAGTTAATATCAAACACTCACACACACCCCCTCCTATGCCCCTAAGCCCCCTCCTTGCCCCTTCTCAGACACATACAAAATAAGCAGACTGCATAAACCCCAGCATAGGCATGCCTACCGCTTGCTCTCCAGTTACAGGCTTTGCAGTTATTTAAAAACACATTCCACTAGAATTACAATGTGCTTTTCATGCAACAATGAATGTTACTAGCTTTAAAAGGGCAGTCATGAAGCAATTAATTAAAATGCATACACAAAAAGGCTGGCTAAGATGGGTTCCCCAACAATGTCCTGGCCTTGAATTTCTCCTGCCTCCCCCGGATGGAAGCCTAACATAAAAGAGTGGTCCTCGGGCTACTGCTCCTTCCTCTATCCTGATTATTGCAACTTACCATTGGTCTCTCCCGGCTGCTTGTCCCTTTTCCTCTTCTTCTTCTTCCCCTAGATGAACAGATGAAACACAGGGAATTACCTCAAGAAACAGATGGGAGGTGGGTGTCTGGGCTCACCTGGAAGCAGGGGGCAGGAGGAAGGGACCACCTTGCCACCTCCATCCACACTCACTCCTCCACCGTCCTTTCATCCAAATGCCTGTCACTGTGCCCCAGCTGGAGAGACACACACCTCGTAGGAGAGAAGAAGGGACTGGCAGGTGGTAAGTAAGTAAGATCTCTCTGCTCCTCCATCTATGTCTACCCTCAAACCTGACCCAGAGCATTTGATGCGTAAGAAAGAGAATGATATGCAGAAGACTCAGGGGGGAGCGGAGGGCAGCACTGGGAGCAGTCTGAGAGCCCACCTCTGAGGGGCAAATGAACGCAGGAGGGTTGCACCAGCTTCAGAGCTGCCTGCCTGACCCACTCAACTCTCTGACTCATTAAGGCTGAGGGTCCCCATTCGGAATCAAGAGAATGAAAGCTTTAGCAGGGGCTTCTCTGAGAGCTGTAGCATCTTGGTTTTAAAAGATGGGGGTGAAGGGAGGCAAATAGAACCAAGAATCATCTGAGCCCCTTTCAAAACTGCTGGATGGGCATCCATAAGAGAGAGGAAGTCCCCACCATTCTCCTCTATCTCATATAATAATGGGTATGATAATCTATCTCATATAATAATGGGTATGATAATCCTAATGATAACAGCTACCATTCATTGAGCACATGCTAGGTGCCAGGCTCAATTCCAAGTGTGCTACAGACTGACTCATTTTAATGCCTCACAATAATCCTACGCAACAGGTATTACTGCCATTCCAATTTTACAGATGAGAAAACTGAGGCACCGAGGGGTTAGGTAACTTTCCTGAGGTCACACGGAGAGCAAGTGGTGGGGTGGGATAAGAATGCAGGTGGTCTGGGCTCCACAGCCCTCAACCATGACGCTCTGCTCGTAGTCAATGCCTGGCCCACCAAGGAGACTCTTTTCTTAATTGATTAATGGTGATGAATTGCATGGAGTCATTCACATTCTCCAACCTGACCCTCCTTGATACCTTGACAGTCTGCCCCTGCTTGCAGATGTGAAATGGATTAGGGAGGAATTCTGTTGAGGCGACTGCCTTGCTCCAGGTCTGAAATTAGCTCTCCCTCACCATCTAGCCTACCCTATGCAAAAAGAGGCAGCCACCTGGCATAAATTAAAATGCAACGGTTTCACACTTGTGCGTGTTTCAGAACATCTAAATAATACCTTTGCCCAAAGGTTCTCGCAGTATGTTGACGTCGACTCCAAAAAGAAAAGAACAATGAAAGGCAGAAAACCCGAGAATGTGTCAGGCTCTGGAAGGAGAACAGCAACGTAAAGATGCCACTGAGTTCTGGCTGCACCCAAGGGCCGAGAGCCGCCTGTTTTAGAGAAAAGCCCTCTCTTCTCTCAGGTCAAGGGGATGGTGCCACTTGGGGAGTTTGTTTTGGACTTCTGTTCAGTGCTTCTGTTTAAACATGCCATGTTCCTTGGTTTTTAAGAAAAGGAGTCCCTGTGCCTTCTCAAGGGGCTGGAGCCTCCGTCTTCATGTCTGTGCCTACCCTATGCAAGGAACAAAGTGCCACCTGGCTGTCTCGGGACAGGGAGGAGGGTCTAGTCTCAGCTGATTTAGGAGCCTAAAGGAAAAACTCAACTGGGCACAGAAACATTTTAATTTCCAGGCATCTCAGCATCCAAGTACCCCTGGGCTTCTCAGTCAGTCATCTTTAATGCAGTGTTCACCCATTTCCAAGCCCTCCCAATGTATTCTGATGGCACTAGAAACTCCTCCTACCCAGGGGAAGCTGTTAGGTGTTAAGATGTATCATTGAGATGTTTATCATTGAGGAAGTTACCATTTAGACTAAAGGCTTCCAGAGGACAAAGACTGTATTTTATTAGGAAGATGACATAAGAAAGTGAGAAGACACTACCCTTAGTGAAGAGGAAGATGCATCTCCAGGGAGGTGGCCACCCCATTAGTTCTTTAAAAGTATCAGAAGGAAGAAAAGGACTAATATATAGAAGTGAGAAAAAGCTCAGATGAGCAAATGGCATTACCTAACATAGAAGGAGTTAGGAAGGAAATAATGTTTAATACAATGCCAGGGGTTAGATATTACTATGGCACCCCAAATATTTTCAACTGTGCTCTACAGAATGTGCCAAGCCTGACTGTCACTGTTTTGCTCAATTCTATTTTCCTGGGGTAGAGATATAAAGGCTTCTGTTACCACTTGGCTGGAAGAGCAAGAATGTGAAAGAGGCATGAGGTGAGCTCAGAAAGTATTTTCCAAAAGAAACCTTTGGAGTTTACAATGACCAAAGTAATTTGTAGAAACTCCTATGTCAAGTTAGTTAAAAAGAAATACTAACAAGTTTCCACCATAACCAAATCCATAAAAGCTTCAATTCTGTGGGTCTTGTCCCCAAACTGTTCCCTGGGTCACAGAAGGAAGGAGTATGAGAGCATGTGAGAGAGTGTGTGTGTTGTGTGTGTGTGAACTGTGTGTGTGTGTTCACACCGAGGTGTAATGAGTCATTGCAACAGGACTCTGGCAGTACCTCTTACAAGAGCTAAAGTTCCTGCAGCTCTCAGTCTAGATCTATCTCTAAACTTTCTCTCAGGTCTTCTCAGGAACTCCCCTGTTCTACCAACCTGTCTTCCGCATGTAGAACTGAGCTGAAGTCATTTCAAGTGCCCCATGGAACCTTCTGAAACCTAAAAACCTACTTCATAAAAAGCCTCAAGCAAGACTTCGTTTAAATGACTCCTAGGCAAGTCAAACACTGTATTCTTTTGAAGCTATCACAAAGTCTGCCTTGTACCTTTGTGGAGATTTCACCCTGCACAACTCCAGGGGGCACCATTCACATAGCCCACAGTGTAAATGGCATACCTTAGAGAAGCGCAGTGCACGCCCTGCACGGCTGGACATGAAGGCCTAACTGTGACCCAAAATGTCTACTGAGGACATGATATCTATGGAGAAGCTGAATTCCTCTCTGCGGTACCATTCTAGATTACTCAAAGAATTGGGTTTGTAGCAGGTAGTAGAAGCTCGAGATGAACTCTAAGGACTTCTGACCCGAGACCAGGGGAGCAGCTGTCCTGAAATGAGATGGCTGCGTGCGCGAAGGCTATGGAGCCTGCCCGCTGCCTGAAAGCTCCACCTCGGGGTCAGGAGCGGGTGAGCAGGATGCCGGTGGGAGAGCAGTCACTTTCTCATCCTCTTCCTTTCAGCTCCAGAAGAAAGGCTTCCCCACTGCACACATGCTGAGGACAAACGGAAAGGTCCCAAGCAGCTGAGACCCCGTGCAAGCCCACCTGTCGGCGACAAGGCTCTCAGCAGAGCACGCGTGCCAGCCAAGGTGCTAGCGCTCCTTCCTGTCTCGGCTCCCAGGAGGCGGGGCCCAGAGGGAGATGGGCTGCGCCAGCCCCCTCTCCCTGATCAGTGAGGTTTAAAGGTATGAGAAAAAAGAGGGAGCGAGCTTGAAACAGCGAGTCACAGGGAGCAGAAAGCAGCCCGCACTCGGGACCCCACATTCACGCGCGTTTGCGGTTCCTGGCGGACGGGGAGCTCTGACAAAGGAAGGATCTGACTTAGCTCTGAACCCCCGGAACACCTGTGCGCAGCGAGTGCACGCGCAGTGAGAATTCCATGACCTCAGCACCCCAGAAAGAAGAGCTTCTTTCCCACGGATGATGCCAACAGGAGAGTGAGAGGAACTTGGTAAAGCCATCGCGCATGGCTCCACGACATCGACGAGGGGGGGGGGGAGCCTGTGCTGCCTGAAGACCAGTTCCGTCTCCCTCCCAGGAGCGGCTGGCGGGATCACTCCATGAAGCCAAACGCCAGGTCATAATGCAGCAAGCAAAGTAAGAGACATTTCACCCATCTAGGGAAGGAAGAGCCACTGGGCAAAATGCAGGGTCATCAATAATCAATAGTGACACAGACACCTCCACAGGACAGCAAGTTTGTGGGAGGAGAGAAATCGTGGAGACACAACCACTGCAACTAGGAAAAACAGTAATCCTACAGGGTTTCCTAAAACCCAAGAAAGGAAATTAGGCCAATTCCATAGCCAACATTGAGCCCAGGGACACTCACATCTCATAACACACACCCTTCCCAACTTGCTAGGCCCAGAGTGATCTCATCCTCCCTGCCAAAGGAGGACTTTCAGGGATATTCCCATCATGCCCCTCTCAGGATGAAACAGGCTTCCAGTGTCTACTGCATCATGGCACAGGCAATTGTTTTCCTTTTCCTACTTAAGGGTGAAGGCCCTGCTGGAAGACCCGTGAGGAATTAAACCCTCTTCCTCCACCCCGAATCACTGGTCTTCCCTGTAAGGCCACCCACTGAGGAGCATGGAGAACCTAATCTGGAACTTAAGCTCATTTTGGGCATATCCCGGAGCCCTGCCTCCTCTAGGAAGCGGGCAAGCAGGTGTGGATAGCCCGAATTCGACCTCCCGAGTCCTGAGCTGGAACCCTGGAACACCAGCTTCCTTCCTCCACCCTACAGAGTTACCGTGTGCTGCCGGCTACCGTCCACACCTGAAGCCGGGACAAGCCCCTCCGGTTTGGTGGTCCGGCAAGATGCTAACAGTCCCTAAGGCAGGCTGAGGCCTGATTCGAGTTGGAAGTCCCTGTTCTCTTTGTCCGTACAAACACACAACACATCTCTACACACTCTCGTCTTACGGAAATGATCCACCTACATAGTTATCCCTCGCGGACCAGCCGGGGTACAGCTGCATGTGAAGCTGTCGCTCCTTCCGGGCCAGCTCGTAGTATTTCGCCTGCTCTTCTCTGGACAGCGCATGCCACTGCAGGGGACACGGGTGGGGTGAGAGAGACATGCAAAAACATCACCAACTACACTGTGATTGGGGAATGCATGGCGCTGCTTTTTGTGGCGAGTCCCCCCAGAAATGGTTTAATTTGTAGACACTAACAGTTTGGTGGGTCCTGGCACTTAATGGGAAGGCTCAGACAAAACTTGATTTGTCATCTGTGTCGTTCTATCATTTGCTCTCTCGGGGGTGGGGGGATCTCGGCTGTGGCTGCCCTGAATGCCATCTGAATGCAGGACGACCAGTCCCGACTCAATGAGGCCATTCAAGGATTCAGAACATGGCTGAAGGGAAGGGATTCGCCAAAGAAACGGGGACGCAAACATTTTACCACCCGACCTGCTGCACTCCAGTTCGTCCTCCCCCTCGTCTCCCCGGGAGGGCGTCACCTACCCTCCGCCCGAGGATCTGGTTGATGGCCGCGCTCTCTTTCAATGTGCACTCAGCTACGACCTTTGCTCTCATTTCCTTCATATACAACATGAATGCGTTAAGAGGTTTCTTTATGTGGGGCTTCTTCTTTTCTTCTTCCTTTTTGGAGTCCTGATGCTTTCTGGATGTAGATAAAACAGACACAACCCAATCAACAATCACACGGCCCAACTTCCTCCAACGCAGAGAGCCCACCTCCCTGTCTCCTAACACCCCAGCCTGGCAGTTTTGAATAGAAAGCACGCTTCCACTTTCAGTTTTCTTCACCCCGGAAAATGGAACGAAAATAGCTTGAGGAAGGGGGTAGGGGAAGAGAGAGATTTTGTAATCACTTCCTCCAAGTTTCACAAACACACAGTTTTCCCAAGCCAGAGGGGGAAAGCACACTATTGCTGTCTCCACCTTGGCAGGGTTCTCTCGTGCTTGCAGAACAAAGCTCCAAATGTTCACCTGCAGGGTCGGGGGTGGGCGGGGAAGGGGCTCCCAATCCCAGTGCATCCGGGTATCCGCCCAAGGCAGGGTTCTACCCCGCAGTGGCACAATCGGTGAGACTCCACCACTGTGCATTTTCTCCTTCTCCTTAAGGCAGTGCCGAACCCACCAGGCTGGGTGTGTGTTGGAGTCAAACCAAGCAAGGCCAACCCTAGGCAGAGAGCCACCACTCAGCGGCAGCAACCGGCTCGTGGCAAAGAAGAAAGAGATGGAAACAGCAACACTTACGAGCTATGGAGTGAGCCGACGTCACTCTGGGAGGATTCCTGTTTGACTGTCGGCGTGACTATGGCCGGATGGGGAATGCCGGTCGTGTGCAGAGTGTGATGAGGTGGGACCATGTGGGGAGGGAACCTAGAAGACAGAAAGCTGTGTAAATCGTCAGAATCAAAATGAATGAATGAGGAGGGATGTGTACACACAATTAAAAAAAAAAAAAAAAAAAAACAACAGCACGTAACACTCACATGAAAGCAACCCAAGGCATATGAAACCTGTCAGCATTAATTAGCGATAAATTAAACATAATGATTCTCATAATGTCATTAAAGCCAGTCTTCCCCTTCATTATTGCTACTGACACGAGATATTATGATTTTTAACATCTTCGGCAAAAGACAAATTCAACTGATGTACTTGGGCGGAAAAGTGGGCTTGGAGTACCTGCTGGAAATTGCACGTCCACTTGTTTTTTGAGGCATTATTAGTGGCATCTAAGAAGACAATTTCCTAAGTCCTAATCAGCTCTAAAATGAAAGGTGAAATCTTTTGTTGTATATTGACAGCTAAATAAAATATTAACGTGGTTGAAATATACATACATTTTTGACAATGCTGTGCATGCCTCATTAGACCTCATTCTGTTGATGGAGTGCAATAAAATTTTTATTTTTCTTTTGTTGCTGTGTCCCATCATTTGACAGGAGTGGGAGAGAGTGAGGCAGGAAGACAGGGGGAAAAATTCAAATATTTCCTAGTTCGTTCTTATTGTAAGTCATGGACATTTTAAATAAGTTAGTATCCCTTTATGGAAATATGTAAAAAAAAAAAAAAAAGGCACACACGCAATAAAGCTTTGAATTTTGATTTGTATGTCCTTTCTCCTGTCAAATTTAGGATTCCTAAATTACTTTTACTTAATAGGTTGTCTGTGCATCATTAAAAAGCCTTCTAAATGATTATCAAAATTACAAAAGAAAAGATAACATTTGTGTTTTCTCCTCTAATACTGTTCATTTTTAGAACAGTTCTCTAAAATACATTTTAGGCCCTGAATTGGTGTTTCCCAACCAAGCAAATTAGCCAGGCCATAAACAGCTAATTTTCAAACGACCCCTGGCCCATCTGCAAACTGACAACTGGATCAGACAGCCTAGCTTTCACATTTCCCAGTATGTTTGGAGTTTCCATGATTTGTACTGGGTTAGAACCACCACTCTTCTGAAAGTAACATATCCTTCTGCAGAGAAAAGGAGGGTTGAGGAACCAGGAGGGCAGAATCCCCAAAGAGAACAAAATGGCAGCCTCCTGCCCCACCTGGCAAGACTCTGTGAGGGAGCAGATGGGACCCTGTTCAGAGGGAGATCACAGCAGTTGCTGCTTTCTTAATAAATCCAGACCAAAACAGCCCCACGTGCCACCCAGGGAACAACAATCTACTGTTTAGAAAGCCAATTCCAGTGGGCACTGGAGGTCCTACTGAGGTTTTATCATGACAGTTATTTCAAAAGGGTGGATTAGAGAGTTTCCATTCAGCCAAAATAATGTAGCCAAAGTTAATTTGAAAAATCATTTTAAAAAACTTAAAGTACTAACTGAATCTACATAGATCAACAGAGGAAAATAATACCAATGAATAATGCTGATTTTTAAAGGAGGCCCAAAGTAGCAGTAGATACTAGACTCAGAAATTCCACCCTGACATGGTCTCTTCCTGCCACCCCTTTTGTAAGTTTAAGCCACTATTGAAATGGGGTAACAATGACATGATTTTTTTAAAAGTAAGAATCGTGCCAGTCAACCTTTAGAGTGTGTGTGCGCGTGCGCGCGTGTGTGTGTATGAGAGAGAGAGAGAGAGAGAGAGAGAGAGATAGAGAGAGAGAGAGAGAGAGAGAGGGAGGAAGGAAGGAAACAAATAACCCCTATACCTATCCACCTTCTCCCCAAAAAAGGGGAAAAAATAAATAAATAAAAGTCAGCCCTTGGGTTCCCAAGTCACACTCAGTTCCTTCCCACTGCTCAAAGACCTCGGAGGAACAGAAGTTCAGAACATGTGTTCCTAAAAGCCCTTGGGTGATGTGGTGGGTGGCAGCTTTTACTGTGAATTTTAAAGGCCTGACATTCCTCGAATATATATGTTCCCTTCCTAGAGAACGAGAGTATGTGCACAGACATGCAAGGGTGAGGGCGGGGAGGGAGAGGGGGAGAGACAGAATATTGTGTGTGTGCACGTGTGTGTACATACACCAAGCATAATGGGAAAACACCATCATTCGACCACATTTTGGCGTAGGGACCAACTTTCTGTGCTGCCATAAAGAAGAACACTTGTATGTTCCCATACCTACACACATATCATTCGTATATCTGAAAAATGCACAATACAGAAAGAGACTGTGCACGAATGTGTATGTGGGCTGTACGCATACCTTCACTTACGAAACTCCTTTCTGCAGACAACTATTTCATGCAATGCAATAAACACCCTAAAAATTCTAAGCAGCTCATTATATACCCCCGTCTGCTTTCATGGCTCCAAGCCAGAATATAATGATGAACCTTAACTTGTTAAGGACAACTAATTTTTGTTTCTGGCTGTCTCAGGGGCTTCTCTCTTACTCACTCTCACTTTACTTCACTGTTGACACGTTTCTGTTAACTGGATGTCATCTGCCGGCCTTGATTTTATGCACAAGCAGTAGGATGCATTTTCCTGTGCAACAATCCTGCTTTGAGTTGCATTAGGTTTGTCATTATTCTCTCATTTTCCCCCTTGCACTTGTAACATTTCATCTCTTCCTGCCTTATTTTTTGTGAGCCACGGTGCACCCACATTATGGTTTATACATGATCTCGCTCCCTTTGAAGCCGGCAGATTTCAGAGCCGGCTCTCGTCAGGAGAAGAGCCTTGCACCAATTTAGCAGGCTGAGGGCCCGGAGCTCCAACATCTCAATCTAAAAGGGGTCACAGGGTGGCACAAGTGAGTGTCAGCAAGAGCTGTTTAATTGCCAATCTAGGCTTCTCCATGGTGTTTAAAGTATAATGACCCATCACTTAATTCTGAGAAGTCCTGGCCCCACTGCTGAATAGAATGAATATCAAAGGGTGTTCTGGAACAGGGCAAGCTGCCTACATTTGCTATAACTGCCATAAGTATAATAGACCTATACTTCTGTCGCCCCATTACCACAATAATGTATTTAATTTGCTGTATACGCTTTTTAACTAGCTACCTTTCATACAGCCTACCTGGGGAATCGGCCGCCTCTCCCCCTCCTCACACCTCGAGCCCCTAACCTTTCTTCCCACCGTTCCCCTTTCCTTCTCTCCACCCCACTGCCCACCTAGAAATCGACTAACCTCCTAATGATAATTCAATCGATAAGCTTAACCCCAATCCCTATCCTACGACTAACTTCACCGCTTTTAACCTCTGGAATGCACCAAATAAACAAACATGAAGAATAGCCAGGTGCTATATATATATATATATATATAAACACCGGGACGGTGGGAGGGTGAGCCGTGGATAACCAGCTGCTCAGAAGCACGCGCTTCCTGGGAGACTCCCTATTCGTTCCCCTGCTCCGTGAGGCTGCGATGACATTATTTAATGAGCATAACCTTCCTCTTCTCACTAGATGAGAGAACACACACGCATTTTCCCGCCTAACTAATATTGACGTGGATTTTGAAATTTTGATGACGTTATCCCACGTGGGGAATGGATCTTTATTTGATACTTGTGGCATAATTACAAATGCTAGATATGCTACAGTTTTTTGAGTTTTTTTAAAATGAATGTGCTATTTACTCTCTCCGCAACCCAAGTGGCTGGCTGTTTGGTTAAGTAGGGAAAGAGGCATCTTGGCCTGTCTTTTCCAGCCCTTTCTCTGGTCTTGACTTCCCACGTTGGCCACAGGCCTTGGGGGAAGAGGCTGTGGGACAGCATCCTCACCATGCAATGCCTGCTAATTCAATTAGGTGCCATCATCAAAATGGATTGGTTGTTTTAGCCCATCAGGAAAGTCTAACCTCCACCGATTTAATTAACTTGACTGAAAATCAGATGAACAGAAAATAAAACTATCATTAGGAGCAATTAGTGACTACTTAAACAGACTGCTGCCAACCAGTTTGTAAATAAACTAGCAGTCACTGAAAAATTAGCCAGAATTAATCAGAGGGAGAAAAAAGGAGAACATGGGATATGTGTGTATGTTGTGTATGTGTGTGTGTGTGTGTATATATATATATATATGCTTGAATATAAATATATCAATGTACAGCACACAGGCACATGATTTTCTTTCTTTTAACTTCCAAAGAATTAGAGCTGCACAGGCCACTATGGTAGCCACCAGCCACATGAGGCTTATTGTGTGCTTGAAATGCCAGTCCAAATTGAGATGAGCTGTTAAGTGTAAGAGACACATCAGATTACAAAAATTAAGTCCAAGAAGACTGTAACATCTCATTAATAGTTTTTGTTCAGTGATAGCATGTGTTGAAATAGTATTTTGGCTATACTGTGTTGAAAAAAAAAATAGCATAGAAAATAATTTCACCCTTTTTAAAAAGGTAGGTGCTACAAAATGTAAAACTCCCTCTGTGGTTCACATTACATTTCTACTGACTCTGAATCAGAGTCTGAACTTTGAAAAGACCAATCATCTTTTCTCAGACTCTTCTTTATACAAGAATAAAATTACCTCCACCACCCCCTCCCCTTGCCTTCTCGTCCAGGATAGGACAACAGAGAAATGACATTTTATAAAGCTCCACAGGTCCTGACTGTTTCTTCTGCCTTCTTAATGCCTTAAAAGACACTGCTCAATGGATTGGCTCCAAAATTTGACCCGGAAAGACATCACTTACCTTGGAAGTTCAGGGCAATTTTTCAGTATTTTCTATGAGTACACATACACAGCCTATTGCCACATGGGCTTTACACTATTAGAACTACACGTAGCCACAGTCCCCGGGGGGCCTGGTAGCCATCTAGAGAACTTTCTGAGAAGTCACGCGCAGCCTTGGTTGAAGGCCCTGGCTCCTGGAACTCACCTGGACATGGACGCGTTGACAGTCAGAGCTGTGGGGTAGGGGTGTCTGAATCCTCCTGTCGTGATTGGGTACACGGGCTGACCTTGCCTACAAAGAAGGGGTACAGAGTGAGAGACTCGAAACAAGGGTGGGGGTGGGGACAAGGAAAAGAAGAAAAGGGAAAAGTTCTCTCTGCACAGTAAGCTTTATTCTCATTTGATCAGAACAAAAATCTTGGGGATTGTACAGGAAGGATCAAAGGGAAGAAACACAGAACAATTTGAATGCCATAAATCTGATAGGAATGGCTAATTAAATTTTATAACCTCTGCTTATGTCAATAGAGACCCTCTCCCCAAGCTGAAACTAGGTGTTTTGTTGTAATAATTAAAGGCGAAGTCTCGCTTGCTTTAATGGAGCCATCACACTAATTGAGGGCTACACATCCAAAGGAAAACAATAATGAATGTAAATTTATACCAAAATAAAGTACAGTGAATCAAAGGACTTCAGTTGCGCTTTGGGCCTCTTTCGGTATTTAGATCTCGGTGAGAAAACATTAAATTAACAGAGCTTAATTTGTAGCCTTTTGTCAAATTAACAAGTGTTGACAAGAGTTACCGGGGGGGGAGAGTCCCCAAGAAGAATTGTGGGTAACCAATAGACAATCACACCTCATTACAATAATTAAAAAATACAGCAACATGCAAAATAGCATCCTCATGAAAGACACACAACTTTTTCTGACAGAGGGTTGTCTGAGTTGGCTATTCCTTTTTATCTAGCCTTCAAATATCTCCCCATCAGCTGAATGGGGCAAGTGATGACTGAGAACTATGTGAGGAATGGTCCCATCTATTTAAGAAGAAATGGGTCACAGGCCCACGTTCATGTCTACCCTCCAAATAAAAATAAGGAGAAGACAAAGAAACCAAAGCTATGCCTAGGTTTGGTATTTGGTATAGCTACTACACAATGCAATCTGGGTTTTGTTGTTGTTGTTGTTTAAAAAAAAAGAAAAAAACAGCATCAAACCTGTTCAACTATGGACATAAGGGTAGAACTAGACCACTCCAAAATTTTATCTTCTTTAAGACTATGAAAGGCTGTCTTCCCCTAAGACACCCAAACTTGAGGCTTTTGCCAGGGTTTATTCCTTTTAGCATTCAACACATTGTCCTGTGTTTTTTAGAGGAGAGATCACTAATAAACATGGAGAAATACAATCATAGAAACATACAATTGCAAAACACATATTATATGCACATTCATGCAAAAACACACAAACCCATATAATATGCTTATGCACTAAAGGCCTTTCTACTTTGATTTTAAAACACCCACATTTTTAAGCTGTAAAAGGCAGTCAAGTTATCTGAGCACTGCCAGGAACTAGGGCTGACACTCAGGAAGGTCCCGCATGCTGGAATTAGCATTCTAGGTGCCCCAACTCCACCCTTCGTAGGTAGGTAAAGCATTCAACATGCAAAGAAGCTAGAGAGGTGCTGGTTAAATACAGTGGGGCTTCTCAATAGACAAAACTTTTCCACTGATGTTGTCAACCCTGGGAGTGATGTTCAGGATAGGCTTGGGGGTACTGGAATTGTAGGAAAATGAGCTCCACTCCACACCCTGGATTTTAAAACTAAGTTTTTCCTGTCCCCACTCCCGTGTCCCCAAATACACGACACCTAAAAGGGAGGACTCGGCTTCAACTCCATGACACGACTCCAGTTTGGGCTGCCATTAGCAGAAGTGCCATGATCGGCCTTCTACACCTCCCAAAGTAACTTAAAGGCGCCTTTGTCTACAGGGCCTTTGGGAACCAACCACAGGTTCAGAATGCTAAGTATCAATAACCTTTTCCTACATAATCCACCTGGAATGGCTACTGATTCCCTTGCATTGCCACACGACATCCCAGCAACATCTCCCCTGTGCCCTCCATGCCCCGCCACCACCCCTGCCTCCTAACACACACACAACATGCACAGAATAAATAATAAGCATGCCCGTGTAAGAAACAAAAAGGAAATTAAAAAATGGAACTCCTTACTGTGGTACTAACCATCCTAGCGGATGGGGGATTTGTCCTACGGTGCCGGGTGACAGCGGGTAATACGGGGATATATCTGGAGGGTGCGGGGGCCGTGGGATTCCTGAGAAAAGAAGCAGCATTTTAGTACAGAGGAGGGAAAGAAGGAAGGAGCGACTCTCGGAGAAGGGGAACAGGAAAAGGAGGAAGAGAGACATCTCTTCTGGGATCCTAGCGCAAGGCTCATTCACGATGAGGATCTTAAGTGTTGGCGGTAGTCTCATTTTCACCCCAGCCTCAGTTTGGAAAATTAGTTTATCTCATTCTAGATGGACTGGTCGGACAGATTTGGAAAATGCCATCTTGGGTATTTCTGCCTCATGTCATTGATGTGATTATTTGAAGTTTAGAAACAAACCCCACAACATCTACAGGGCTTGGCCCTCAGTGGGTGATCAAGCAGTAGTAATTCCCTTTGCCCTTACAACGGGTCCCTTCAGCTGTTCACGCTAATGACTCCCCTGCATGGGAGTTCCTGCTCTTATTTCCAACACAGTCTTTGAGCTGTGGCTTTCGAAAGGTTACCTTTGCCTTCTTTCACAAAAGGTAACTCCTCTCGAATGTGTCCACCTCCACTTAGAAGATGAGCTGGAGACACTACCCAAATGCCATTTGGCATCTCATCCAAGGGAGCCTCAGAACTGAACAGACGAGGAGCTGCTGGGGGCCTGGTGTAGTACTCAATTCTGGAACCTCAGTCGCTAGAGGACAGAGCCACCTGCAGGAACTAACCTCACCTGGGCCCCCCGAGTACCATAGGGGCTAGGAGCTTCACAAGGCACACACTAGTGAATTCCAAAGGTGTGCACCACCGCACACTCCCTGACTGCACAGGAGCACGTGCTGCGATCAGTCCTTAAAAAGCAAGAGCACCAGGAACACTTTGGACAGAGAGGACCCGACCGGTGCAAGTGACGTGGGAATCAAAACGCACAATACCGCAGCATTAAGACAGAGTATAGAAGGGAATGAGCTGCATGTTTGTGGATGAAGACGACTTCATTTTTTTTTTAATTCATTCAGGAAGCGTTTAATCTGTAAATTAAGTCTCCCCGGGTGACATTTTCATGCAGACATTTGCTTTCTCTCTATTACAAAAACCAAACAGATTAGCTGGGCTTGGACCCTACACTGAGCCATTTGCACACTTGAAAGAATGTTCGCAGAGGAAAAGTAAACAGTCCGCAGACGTTAATCATATGTTTTACGATAACCATTTAAAAGCTATTCCCTGTACTGCCATTATTTAAATGAGACGCTGATGCTGCCACTCACTCGCTGAGCCTGGGGCCTGGAGCAGGCCGCCAGCCATCCGAGCCCGGGCCTGGTCCCGCGCTAGCACAAAGGGGCTCAGAGGCCAGCAAACACCTGCGAATGTGTGGCTTCTTTCAGGGACAGTGGAGGCCGCCTAGCCAGCAGCCCACCTCAGCCCAACACCAACACTTCCCTCTGACAAGTGGCGTGGGATGGCCATTTTAAATCTGCCCTTCCGGTTACTGAGCTGGGAAGAGGGACACCTCTAGCCAGCACCCGGTGCAGCCCTGAGGACACGTGCAGGCCTCACCTGCTCGCCCAGGGCCACCCCACTAGCAGCTGGGGTTGCCTGTCTGATCTACATCCTGTTGTAGGGAGGGCGACAGGTGACCCTGTCTTCTCTCCCTCTCCCTTTGGGAGAAAAAGTAAGTCAACAAACAAGTGGGATGGAAAGAGGAGACGACTATAAAGGCTGAAGGAAAATGTAGCAACTCCTGCCTGACACCCTATTGGTGGTTTTATGAAAAAATGAGGCAACCTCCTTGAGCCTCAGTATTCACATCTGTAAAACGGGCTTGAAAAAACCCAGAATATTGTAGTGGGGGAGGAACCAAAAAAAATCAGCAGAGAGAATGCAGAACCCAGTGATGAGGTCTTTTGAGGCTGTACCAGTAAGTCACTGACAAGTGACTAGAGACTCTTAGCCACCAAGGAAACTGGGGCTTGAGGGGGCCACGCACGCTGTTAGGTCTCTCTTCTTCCCAGGAAGCTCAGAAGGAGCCCATGAGATGCCTCCAATATGATTCCTGCTTCCAAGTCTGTCTGAGGCTCTTGGAGTTATAAACTGCCCCTGAAAAATACTGAGGGACTCACGGCCAAGTTCCCAAGACAGCCCCTTCAGGGGACTCGGAGCTCTAAAGCGATCTCCACATGGCAGACGGACTCCTCCAAAGGGGAGAGGAAACCACTCCCTCGCCAGATTTGGCTTCCCCAGAGACCTTCCTTTACAGCACCCAGCAGAGGAGTGGGGGCCCACCCCCGCCTCTGTTCCCACCCAGTCCCACCCTCCTTGCATCCCCCCAGGCCTCCTGTGGAGGTCCTCAGAGCCCCAGGACAGGTGCTCTGTCTTGGCACTCAAGCTCACGGCCTACCTGTTTTGGGGTCTACGTCGGCTGGTAAGTGTGGAGGTGGGTTTCCCGGGGTGAAGTGTTCGTTGCTGTACGTGATAAGCGGCGTGAGGGGGTGGACATGGTGAGGGTGCTGCACCACTGGCACTTTGTTCGACTGTGGGGAGAATAAGAAAGACACCATCGAGTCAGTCTCAGCAGCCCAGGACTGCAGAGCACCAGGGCCCCGGGCTCCCCCAGCTACACCCTCCCGTCTAGGTTTCATACGATGCACTTGACGCTGCCCACCCCCCAGCCCCCAGTCCACTTAAGAACGACAGGTAGCTGTAAGGCAGCTCTCTGCATTGGTCTGCTTCCGTTTTCACCTCCCCGCTGGGCCTGGCTTCTAAAATACCTTCTCCTCCACCCCCCATCATGCAGCCCCCGAGTCTGCACTTTTCCCACCGGCAGGTGAGTCGGAAGTGGGGGCTTTAATCTCCAAGGCTACTGCATCTCCGCGTGGCGGGTGGGATCTCCACCCCAAGGCCCCTCCAGTGGGGCCTCCAGGAGGCAGGCTCACGGGGGACCAGCTAGGAAAACCTTCGCCTACAAGAAACCCAGCAGGGCCCAAATCCTACCCAGCCAGCCTCCATGCCCACCCCCCAACTCCTAACCCCTCCCTGCCCTTAGAAACAGCAGGCATGCGCCAATCCTTTACAGACAGCATGGATAAAAAGCCCCACTCATGGCTTGGGTGGGAGTGTGAACTTTACCAGGAAGCTCCAAACTGCCTGGCAAGCACCTGCATATTTTATGCAGATTACAGCAGCCCTGATTCATCAGGAATTTCATTAGGAAGTCACCCGGGAACACTAATAAATTAACTGGATGGTGATGAATTGGGCTCATAAAAGGTATGCATTTTAGAAATGGGCAGTTCTAGAAAACAAAGTGCAGGCATTTTTGTGTTTGGGAAGGGTGGGTCAGTGGAGAGAAACGGGGGTGGGGGGGGAGAAAAAGAAAAGGAAAGAAAAGCATTTTAAACATGTTTCTAGTTGCCAGGCCCAGGTTGTCCCCAATTACTCTCCTTTCCTCTGCTACCCCATTCTCAGTCCCCTCTTCCCCTCTACTATGCTGCGCTGTAACTTAGCCCAGCAAGATCACAAAGAAAAAATTAAGCTGAAACAAGCGAACTACTGGGCCATTTACTGAGAATAATCCAATTGCAAAAAACCCTATTCCCCATAGAGGATTTTCACTAAAATCCTACAACAGGGACATTTAACCAGATTAGGTACCAGCGAAGATAAAGAGGCGAGTATTAGATGATGAATGGATTAGAGTCAAGTTTCATTTCAGAACGTGTCTTCATTTCCTTTTATTACTTTTAGGAAGGCACAACTTGCATTAACATCAAGGAAAAGGAATTGCATTAAAAGAAAAGAAGGTTCTAGTGCTGCCCACTAGCGCCTGTTGAGTTGAGGGATCACTCAGCAGTTAGTTTTATAATTTTTTTTCTTCTTGTCTTTTTTTAAACGGATGAGGAAGGAATATAATATGGGAAGAGCATTTCAAACTACAGAGGTTATTGTGGGGAAGGCATCTTTTAAAAAGTGCCCCTAACTTTTTCATGGGTGTGCGGGGAAAGAAAAATATGGCCTTTCCCTAGATGCTCCAGAAAAAAACTACAGAAAAAGCAGCCAAAGCTTCCTGATCAGGCTGGTTTACTGATTCCTATGAATAATTAGACACTTTCTGAGAAAAAGGTTAGCAAGTGGCTCACAGGAGCCTTGTGTTGAGAGTTACCATGTTGCAATAGAAGCAATTAAGTTAAAGGCCACCAAAGCAGAGGGAGCGTTGGGAGCCAGTGGTGTCAGCAGCCGTGAGGGTCTCGGCGAGACCATGCCCCGCAGGGCAAAGGGCTGCTGCCCATGGCCAGTGCTGGCATCTCGCCGACGAGCACTGAGGACTGCTTTAGGGGAACATTTCTTTTTAGGACGACTTGAGAAGGAAGGAGCAAATAAGCCCCCACTGTGTGCTGGGGTGGAAAGAGAAAAGAGAAAAGGGGAAGGAGGGAGGGAGGGAGACAGATGAAGTGGACACCATTCCGAGGAGAGGAAGATGACTGTTGTTGCCTTCCAGAAGTTTTCTATGTGGTTGGAAAGACACACACCCGCTGACATGAAAGAAAGCAGACCCGTCCCAGAGAGTTTAAAGTAAGTGCGCGAGACAGCAGGGCCAGCGGGGAGAAGTGCACGAGGCCCAGAGAAGGGAAGACTGTCACCCAGGAGTGAACCGAGTGCCAACGGAGCAGGACCACCACGAGCAACGAAGGCAGAGAGAGTAAAAATCCGCCCTGGGAGCAGAAAGGGCCGGTGGTAGCCATCGAAAGCAGCAGCTCTCAACCCCGCTGAGCCATGCATCTCTCAGGAGGCTGGTTACAGGTCCAGACCTCTAATCCCAGGAAATCTCTCCGTGGGGACCTGGTCCAGTGGGTCTGGACTCAGGACCCAGGCATCGTGGGCCCGCCTGCCGAGAGCCACAGGTGGTTCTTCCGCTCATCCACGGGTGAGAACCCCCAAGTCAGAGAACCGCATGGGCGCAGGCAGGCACAGGGGTTAAGAGATGTGAGTTCTCATCAAGAATCGAGTCCTAGTTCTTAGGAAACCCATGGAAAGGGCTTAGCATAGAACCCAGTACACATTACATTTATTATCGAATATGGTGATTTATTATTAATGTTATTCGCATCGTTAGGAGAAGTTGACCTGTGCATGGTTCTGTCTGCAATAGGGCAGCACAGATCCCACAATGACATTTTCAGCAGGACTAAAGGGAAATGTGGGGAAAACCCTCTTTCTCCACTTGGATGCAAAGGATAAAGACAGCACTTGGGCAAGAGTGGAGCTAATCGGGTGTGAGATCAGTCTCCATCTCCTTCTTAGATACAGATGCAAAGGTGATTCCAACAAACTTGGAGCCCTGTTCTGGCTACCAACTCATTTCGCACACCTGAGCCTAGACAACCAGTATTTTCCTGCTCAGTCAAAACCCCATAGCTGTGGTCCCCAACCCTTGGGCCTCCCCACCACCTCCAGCCCTGTCTGTGGAAGAACTGTCTTCCATGAAACTTGGGGGGGGGGGTGTCACACAGCAGGAGGTGAGCAGCAGCCAGCAAGCCAAGCTTCATCTGTATTTATAGCCACTCCCCATCGCTTGTGCCACTGCCTGAGCCATGCCCCCTGCACCCCCAACCCCCACCCCTTGAAGACAAACTGTCTTCCATGACACCAGTCCCTGGTGCCAAAAAGGTTGGGGACCGCTGCTCTACAGCATGGGGGTGGGGGCAGAGAAGGTGGTAGGGGAGTGGGAGTTTTAGGTGCTGCCAGGCTTCAGGGGGAAAATGGGAGCCCTGCTAGGACATGGTCCTTTCTGACCTTGACTGCGTGCCAGGCAGGTCCCTGTAAAGGAAAGTAACCATGTGTCTGTCCAAGTTGACTGTTCCCAAGCAAGAGGAGGGAATTCTGCAGTCATACCTGCCAAAACCAGAGTCTAACTGCCACCTACCCATACCTGAAACCCTCTTATGATGGGAGGACTTTCTTCTTGCAAATGCCTTTCTCTCCAGCCTCCGCACTCAGAGTCCCTTCTTTCTACATCATATTATGCCCATTGCTGGGGTTGTGTATGCACCTTTCTTGGTCCTACTATACCTAAGTTGCGTAAGGACAAGGAATGTGATTTCTAGCACTTGAGTCCCATGAAATGCCCAGCCTTTGGGAATGGTGAACACGATCTCATAAATAGCATAAGAACCACCAAATGACAACTGCAAACATTAGAAGAGAAGGATAGAGCCAACCACATGTTCATGTTAAGTAAATGGCTGTGCTCTTTAGATGTAGTCTACTTAGAGTCACAGAAGGGAGCGAGGTGGTCCTTCAGAACCATCCAGTGCAATACCTTTGCAGATACTATCTCAGTTACAATAGTCCCTTTAAAGTGGTTTCGGAGCCCACTGCCATTTCACATAATGATTCAAGGACTCAATTCAAGGAAGACCTGGTTCCAATTCTACTTTACCAGTCTGGCTGTGTGATCTCTCTCAGGATTTCGTCTCTGTCTCTGTAAACTCCAGGTAAGAATCACTGTCTACCTCATAGGGTTGTGCAAACTGAATGACATCATGCACACAAAGTGCTTCTCACAGTGCCTAGCACATAGCTAGCACCACAGAGTAGCTTTGGCAAATGCAATCCAATGAATACTAATGGTGATGAGGTTAGCTACCTCTCTGGTCTCTTCTAACTAAATTCACAGGGGGAAAACACACAGCCACAGATTTCACTCCTCATTTCAAAGGTAAGGATGTTCATTACAGGACAAGAGTGTCTACATGATTTGTGCCCACCTTCATCAGGAACACACCCTTCTTAAAAATGCGATTTAACTAGTGAATATATGTTAGTATCTCTTGTGAGAACAGTCATCACTTTACCATGCCAATGAGTAAGAGTGCCAAGGAGGAGCTGTAAGTTAAAAACAAACAGTTGTATATGACCATAGTCCCTTCCAGAATCAAGCTGACATACATGAAACACCAAAAAAAAGAAAAAAAAAGAAAAAAAATCCCAAGAGAAAGATGTCCTTTAGACGTTCCCTTTCTCTTTGAACAGCTCCGACTTCTTTAACAAGATCTTTAAGAATTGTGTTCAAAATTGTGCCACCCAAGAAAACTCAGATGTGAAAAGAAACTCCGGTGGGGGATGGACACAGACAACTTTCCAGAAATGCATTCATGGCAACTGCATTAAAGCAACACTCTGTGCTGGGGGTGCTGGGGGTGCTGGTGGGTTAAACAGCCCACAGTGTTCATCCCTTCCCCTGTTATCTTTTTATAAACACAGTCCAATGTTCAAGGTAGACAACTACAACAGAAAGCCAGGTGCCTTTTAGGTAACTATTTTACCTAACTACATCTCCGAAACCACTGGGGGTTCCAAATCATTACTGCCAGTGACAACTAACTACCATTCAAGGTTGCAGCACTGGAGGGTCAAGGAGAGCTGCATGAGGAGCCCAAGCTGCTGGACTGTGCCCTTAAGAACATGACGTAAACTATGACCCTCTGCCACAAAAACAGCAAACACGTGCAAAGCATTCCACTTAATTTCAAAA